TGTGTGTGTGAGGGTGCTGGTAGTGTGCTATGTGGGTGAGGGTGTTTATGTGTGTGTGTTTGTGAGGGTGCTGTTAGTGTACTGTGTGGGAGGGTGCTGTTTGTGTGCTGTGTGTGAGGGTACTGGTAGTGTGCTGTGTGTGTGTTTGTTAGGGTTTTGTTAGTGTGCTGTGTGAGGGTGCTGTGTGTGTGAGGGTGCTGTTTGTGGGTGTCGTGTGTTTGTGAGGGTGCTGTGAGTGAGGGTGCTGTTTGTGTGTGAGTGTGCTGTTTGTGTGTGTGCTGTGTGTGAGGGTGTCGTGTGTTTGTGAGTGTGCTGTGTGTGAGGGTGCTGTTTGTTTGTGAGTGTGCTGTTTGTGTGCTGTGTGAGGGTGCTGTGTGTGTGTTTGTGAAGGTGCTGTGTGTTTGTGAGGTTGCTGTTAGTGTACTGTGTGTGTGAAGGTGCTGTCTGTGTGCTGTATGTGTGTCGGTGCTGTGTGTGAGAGGGTGCTGTGTGTGTGGGTGTGCTGTGTGTGAGGGTGCTGTATGTGTGAGGTGCTGTGTGTGTGGGGATGCTGTGTGTGTGTGATGTGTGTGTGTGTGTGTGTGTGTGTGTGCTGTGTGTGGGGGGTGCTGTATGTGTGTGGGTGCTGTGTGGGGTGCTGTGTGGGGTGCTGTGTGTGTGTGGGTGCTGTGTATGTGCTGTGTGTGTGAGGGTGCTGTGTGTGTGTGGGTGCTGTGTGTGTGAGGGTGCTGTGTGTGTGGGTGTGCTGTGTGTGAGGGTGCTGTGTGTGTGAGGTGCTGTGTGTGTGTGCGCTGTGTGTGTTTGAGGGTGCTGTGTGTGTGTGGGTGCTGTGTGTGTGTGAGGGTGCTGTGTGTGTGTGTGTGCTATATGTTTGGGTGATTTGTGGTTGTGGAGGTGGGGCAGATTAGTTAATAAATATTCCCCCTCCCTTCTTACCTTTTGTAGGGAGGGGGGATCCTTGTTTCTGCTGCCTTCCCTGGTGGTCCAGTGGAGGTGGGGGCAGAGTAGTTGATATCCCCCCTCCCTTCTTACCTTATGTAGGAAGGGGGGCCATGCTGCTGCCTTCCCTGGTGGTCCAATGGAGAGTGAACTCTAGGCTGCGGGGCTAGAGTTCACTCTCGCGAGATTTGAGCGTTGCCACGGCAGCGCTCAGATCTCGCGAGAGGAACACGGTGGAGCTGCTGACTAGAGCTCCCCGGGTCCTCTCCTGCCTCCCTGAGGCAATGCTTTCCTATGGGGAAGGCCTATTGCTCATGCAGCACTAGCCGCACATGCGCATTATGTCCCCCATCAGCTGACATCGACAAGGAGGAGCCTAACTCAGTACTGAGGGTTGGGGGGGGCAGGCTGGCTGTTGTAAGACCAGTAGGAAGCATTATTAAGGTTAATTAATACTGTCCAACAATGGGTCAAATGATGAAATCTGAATTTGTATTTCTGGTCTCTGCTTCTTAGAAGAGCACACATCTGTCTCCTACTAGAAGTTACAGCCAAATACTAATCTATCCCGATTTGCATTTATAAGCTGGAAATTTCAAGCATAAAAAATAAATCTCCACAAGCAGCATAAGGCACAGAGAAATCTGCTGGTAAAGCAAGGGATACAAGTCGTTCAAGAGCAAAATATAGGAATTGGGGCACCAGGAATCCATCGTATAGGTCACAAGTTTCAAAGGGCCCATATGCAATGAGCCGTAGGCAGACATAAGACGCTCTTATGTGCAATGGGACTAAAGCACGCGTGGGCCTCTCCAGTTATTAATCTGATCCAGAATAGTATATAATGGTATATTTGGCACTTTGGTTGTTTTAGACACGTTTCTTATAATGTTCCGCCAGATTAAGGAGCTGTCTAGAACTGCGTGATCAAATACTATAACGATAGCACTCAACATTTCAGGAAAGCAGCAGATCACAAAAAACAAAACAAAACACAGGCACCAAAACACAGCTTGAGCCTATTGCAATATTGTAAAATGAATGTTCTCACTTTTTAAGATTAACATTTTAATTTTTAAATGACCACCACTTGCACCAAGTTATGATTTGTGTGTGGTGTTTTTTTAATCATACAGAAACGTCTAATACCATGCAGCAGTCTATTAATTGCAGGTCACTTTCTTTTTAAACAGGACAAAAATATTACAGAATATATTTACCTACAGCACAGACGGAAATCCACTCAAGCGCACGGAAGTAGAGTGCACAAGTGTTATGAAAATTAAGCTACAAAGTAAAGCTTCAGTCACTGATTTCAAATAACTGAGCAGTGTCACCGCTGTGTTAATGATACTATTGAGCAGTAATCATTGTTTTTGTAGCCTCTGAATGCCTTGGAGTATTTAAAGAAAGAATAAAGAAGGCAGGTTTTATCTGCCTGGTAATGTCTGGCGTAATTAAGTGACTGCCGTGTGTAAGAGTCCTTCATAAAGCTTGGCGATTGGCAGATTGCTAATTTGCTTTCCTTAAGGGGATTATCGCTCTTTTTTTATCTTTGTGTTAATACTCATTTCTGTATTGAGCATTTGCAAGTAATTTAAACATGTCCAACCAATCTGAGATATTAACACTATTTGAGTGCCACGGTCGGAAATGTACAGTATATGCGTTTCTTACTGCGCAGTCACTAAATTAGTTAACCCTTGTAATTCCTGCCTTGTAGTTTGAAATTTTGACAGAGCTCGGGCATGTAACATAAAACGTGTCTGCCATATATTAAAAAAAAAGGGATTTATAACATGACCACAACAAAAATAACCCACTGTTCCACCACATTTCTTTTATAATGTAAGGTAATGGTCCCCCAGTCGAATTATAAAAAGGATTTACATTGGTCTATAAAATACTGGCCTACAAAGGTTTCTCTACAGTTCCTGCTCTCCATCTTTCCCTGCAGTATTGTACCATGAAATAGCCCAGCACACCTCATACAACATTTAATCAATCAAAAGAACAGCGTTGTGAGACTGCAGCCTACAACTCCTGTATATTTGTGGCCCAGGGGGCAATTGTCCCTCATATAAAAAAAAAAAAAAAAAAATCAGGTCTGCATTTTGAGCGCTGCACTTCCTAGGTGGAGAGATCGTAGAGAAAAAAAAGACAAGCTGCTCTGTCAATCGTGGTTGATGCTAGTGGGATATCAGATATCTATGTAATGGATAGTGACTTAACCACTTGCTGAGCAGTTTATGTGGAATGCAATGCCAATAAATGTAATCCAGTGTTCGACTGAGCCTGATAAGAATTTTAATCCACAACAGCTCTATATAGCATGTTACCTTTTTAATGAATATATAACAATTAATACTTATAGGAACACTATTGTTTTAGAAATAAAAAACTGTATCTGCCCGTGTAGCCCTCCTCCCCCCCCAGCAAATAAAGGGTTAAATAACCCATTCGCCACTTATCTGATTCCAGCTCCAAGGGATTGCTCTCAACCTCCTTTTCCATCAGCGATGGGGAGAACTTAATGCTTACATTTATTAGACCCTTATGGGAGATTTGAAAGTGCTGGATGTCGTCATGCATAGCGTGCAAAGCGTGATGTCCAATAAGATGCAGTGGTCTGGGTGCCTATAGTGTTCATGTAAAACAGTACTTCAACTAATTCAGTCCTAAGGTATGATTTCCTTCTATGATTCCATAAACTCAATAAAAAGACAAGAAGAAGATTTGGACTGGAGATTCATCCTCATTACTTCTCTGTGAGAAACATTGGATTGGACAATGCCCGACACATACTGGGATGTAAATGGTGGGCATAAAGAGAGCACATTTTTTTATGAGTTGCAGAAACCAGTTCAGCAGCTAATCAAATTTAAGGTTTTAGGGCTTAGGTAATAGTTATGCAAATTATAGTAAAAATCTTTTTTTTTTAGCAAATATTAATTATAAGCTTTACAATTATTGCATTTTTGGACAGGGAATTTAATCTTGTGCATGCTGGAAAAATTGGGTTCTTCTCAATCAATTTGCGGAAAAAAAATAATTGGGATGGCAGTCTTAAGTCCATACCACAATTTGGCTAGGGATCATATTGGGCATGCATTATGTATTGGGGCTGATGCACACTATGGTCATTGCTGCCTCCCAGGAGTAGTGGGAGTTTGAGTGCAGGGCTTAAATTTGTGTGTTTGTATAAGCAATTCAGACTGTTGAATAAGGAGAAGGAGAAGGAAAAATAAGACTATGACGGTGGTCACATGCAAAACAGCTCTAATATTTACTGGCCTAATGGCTACACAATATCAGCCATTTTTGCAATGCCAGCTCTGAGTTGCCAAAATTAGATTATTAGTGAGTTCTTAGTTCTTCGTATTTATTTTATAATGATTTATTGATATATGTTTCCTTTTGCTCTTGTATTAATGCAAAATTAGGATCAAGATTCATTTTAAGTTAAAAAAAGGAATTTATATAAAAATGAGAGTAAAAAGTCAGTTGGCAATTAGCCACACACACCCCTTCCGTTCTGACAAGAACACCCTATTCCACACATCCAGTCTACAGCATCAGTGACTGTCCTTTAGTGTAGAAACAAACAGTATCCTATCAGCGTCTCCCAAATACATCTGTGGAGATAGCAGGCAACGAAAGAATTAGACAAATGGTAAAAACAAAGGTACACTGTGCAATGCAAAGCGCTTAGGTTTTAATAAAACACCAATAAAGATTTTATAGCAGCTACAACACACATGTAAGTACCTCCAACTTAAGACACAATCACGCAAGATTATAGAGTGGAATTAAACCACTATAAGTAAACCCAGTGGAGCGCTAAAATTATAATTGCACACTTACCCTTTTTAAATAGAAACATTTTAAAATGGTGAAGAAATGCAACTGAAATAAGATAAAATAATGAAATATAATGTAGTATGTGTAGAATGACTAGAGTGGTTAAAACACTGCTAACTTTAATGACAGCCAAATATACAAGGCTCTCAGTATGGTGATGTGTGTGCCTTTAAGAGGGCACAACTCTTTTTTTACTTTAAGGTAGAAATACGCAGGAAAACACTGGACTTAATGAAGTGGCTTATATACTTAACTCAACAAGAAAACAAATGGTAAAAACAAAGAAATAAAACAATAAAAGTAAGCCGGATACCAATATGAATAAAATTGTCCTAATCGTTCGAGACACGTTTCGCCTTTTCCCAAGGCTTTATCAATCAGAATTCCTGCTCTCTAATGAATTCTGTGTTTATACTGGTTGATTGTCCTATGATTGGAAAGTACATTTTTTTTAGATATTAAAAAAAACAAAAACACTATATGGTGCCCAATGACATTTTTTTTGCCCTAAATTGTTACAGGGGTCTTTTAGATTCCCCCTTTTTTTCATAAAAAAAAGAGTAAGGAAATTAACCCTTTACTCACCTGTAAACCAGCACCAAGACAGCATCTTCCCTGTATCCTGTTTATCCTGATAACGTCCTCAGGCTTGTCCAAACAAATGTTTCTCATATAGAAGAATTATGCATGTAATGCACATTACACCAATCAAATGCTTCTTGTAGAACCGAACAGCAAGAACTGAGTAAAACTCAATTCTGGACAAAGTTTAATGGGGTAAAAAGTAAAATGAAAGACAGCAAGACCAAATTCAAAGAGACAGTCTAGGCACCATAAGCACTACTGCATTATTTAGTGGTTATGGCGCAAGGAATCCCCTGGTCCCTTCCTACATCAAGTAGTGAAATAATTTTCAAATGTTTTCACATGTACCTGGGATCCAGTGCATGAATTCTGTCTAAATAATTCCCTCCTCTGTGGTTGTCGTGTGGTCATCTGATAACATTGCGTTGATTTAATCTTTTGTGCTTTTGATTTGAACAGGTTTTATACTTGTTATTGTTATACTTGATAAAAGCCACTATTAGAGATGAAACATTGATGGAGGGCTCTTAATACAGTCACTGTTACGGGAGATTGTGGGTACTGGATCTTCTTTTTGCTTTTGTTTATAACCTAATGATTACTGTTTAATGATGGACCAAACTGACATCACTAAAGCATAATGAGACCTTCTACATCTTCAGTTTTACAAAAAGATGCTGGATCAAAGGAACCTGGGCGAGCATGGTAAGTGTCAAACTTTCAAGTGTCAAAACATTTTGACTACCTTCTGTGGAACTGCACCAGGATACTCGAAACACCATAGCCACTGCAATATGTTAGAGTAAATTGACAATGATAAGAAGTATAAATTAAGCATTATTAATGTGGATGAGGGGGATATGGTCCCTGGTTACCATAACAAACTATTACTAAATGTTTAAACAAGCCATGGTGGTAATGTTGTTTGAAGTACCACTTTATGTTTTCCAATTTCCAGCTTGTTCATTTCAGTTCACACTCAGCCTTCTCTCTCTGTTTATTTAAAATCAATTTCTATTCAAACTCACCCCTCCCTATTCATTATAATTAAGTTGTGTTGACATTTTAGTTTCCTCACTAATTGTGTCATTTCCTCCCCACCCTTCTATTTTAATTCTTCCCCTACCTTTCTTTTTAGTTCCCTTCATATTTACTACAGTCATTTTTAAAGCTCTATCATCTTTTCTTTTCCAACTCTTTCTGTTTTTCTTGGGCTTTTCCACCTTTGCTTTGCAACTCTTGACCATTTTTCTTTGACGGCAAATTACTCAGGTTGTCTCTGGTACAGCTGCAGACCAGGGTCAGTCTGCAATGATCGCAATGTGGAACTTGCTTATGGCTTAATGACACAAGCGTATCATAGGTCAGCTGACAATTTTTTTAGCCTGCATGGACATTTCTATTTGTGCTTCAAGCGGGTTTTTATCCTTTTTTGCTGAGTAGTGTTCATTAAATATCCAAGCACAACCAGTGCCCTCATCCATGTACGGACATTCTAAACAATCAGGATCATGGGTTTATGTATTTATATCATTTCCCTGCAAATATCAGGCAGTACCCAGAATGGAACAATTTGCAAACATCTAGCAGAGAAGAATTCATAAGCAATGACAAGGAAACTATCATCTAGACAATGTGTTATCACTTGTCTATTTATTTACTTATGATATACGCCACTGAGACAACATAACACTTCAACCCACGCATCATTATATTATTATATTATATTATTTGAAAAGGACTTCCATGGCAATCTGGATTGCTATTACGCTATATTCTTCTGCAATCCTTGCAACAGAAATGTGTTATTGGTATTAATCCAGTGGTGCTTTTCCCAATGCTCATTTTCCAGCTCAAGGAACAAATAAAGAGTTTGCTTTGATGTTGAAGCACAAAAAAATCAGTTGCAACTCCCGCTTCACACAATGTTGAGCAGGCAATTTACTTTTATTGTCCTGTAGCTCTGACTATCCATCTGTACATATGGTGCTAATAAGATTATTAGTATCCTGAGAGAAAGCAAACAATCTTTTATAATGCCCCTATTAAAAGGGTGTTTATGATTATTGAATCACACGAAGGGTTGATAAAATTGGGTTCCATATCCCACAGTATGTTATTATCTTTGTGCCCATGATGGTTTGAAGAAGATGTGAATGAGCAATTCTGAGTCAGTTTCACTTTCTCTTGGTTTATTTTCCCAAAATATTAAGAGCGTCAATCACAAAAGATTCTTGAACCACATGTTACAAAACTTGAAATAATGGCACCCGTTTCTACCCAGCTTCAAAAGCAATAAAATCACAAACTAAGACTCCAAACAACCCAAGAGGACAGTAGTCAGGATCATTGATATCACCTTCACAAATCCAGAAGGCATTAAACGGCTGTACAAATTTTGAGTTGTGGGAATAGTGAGGATACTCAGAGCTTACCTTATTTTGGTACACTTGATATCTAAAGCACGACCTCACAGACAGCACACAGAGAATGGCAAAGGTATCAGTCACACTTATAAAAACAGCTTAACTATAAATCTTCACCTGGGTTCACAGATCCATTACATCTAGGCTGGAATACAGGACCTCTGCATTAGCATCACTTTCTACCATGCTTTGTTTTTGTTTTGTTTAATCTACATGAAAATGCATTATTTGTTGATTGGTAAATGACTATTTTAACTTTCACATGACATCTGCTCTGCATGTGTTTTGTTCCAAATAGAAATAACTCTTGATTATAGTAATGTCCCAAAATATTTATATTAGATGCTAGGCACAAACAGAGGCATACCCCATTTGGAAAGTCTTTCTGGCATACACCGCTTACATTCAGCATCTTTCCTTTGAAATGATTGTCTTTTGTTAATTTTGCATGTTTAGGTTACAGTACTATTTTGTTAGGTATCACATGGGTTGATCTACCCTTGGTTAAGCTGTTATACCAAACCCAAACTGCAAGTGACGAAACAGGGCTGGTCACATAGAACAACGAATGACAGACGACCTTTTTACATCATCACTGAACAAGAATAGCACCAGATTCAACCTCAGACGAGACATATTTTGTTTTGTAGATGTGGCATTGGCAGTACTACTGCTTCACAGGAATGAAGAAAAGGCCCACAGCACAACTCTATGTTGTGCCATACTTTCCAGTACTGAATGTGGGTAAATCTAAATGTTTTTAGATATCTGACACACTAGTTGACTATTACATCAACCACTATATCGTCTTTAAACCTTGACTTTGATGCTCTATTGAAGCCAACAGTTTTCAACGCTGTTACATTTGGACATTTACAGTGTTACTTGCTTTCTTCTTCTGTCCGTGTCCCACCGATGTTTGGTGCACATAGTAATAGGTTCTATAATATGCTATGTGGCTTCTTCACATTCTCCAACATTTAGTTTCAAAGCCCCTTGCAGATGCAGATTTTTTAAAGCTTTGAATTCCAAGGGCATTGCATGTGGCCCTGCCTGTGAGGTGTAGCCATATTTTAAACTGTCATAGTAATGGTACTTTACAGGATTCTGGTGAAGATCTCGAGGGAACGGCCAAAACCCGTACAAGTAGATTCTGTTGCAGAAACGAGTTGCCAAAGTATACATTAGGAGTCCAGTTGTAGGTCTTTTAATATGTACCTTATTTGTCAACCAATACCTGTGGAGAGAGAAACAGAACATTACTTCAATATAAACTAATAGTATAGAAGCTAAATAGCTATTAAGAAAAAAATTGTTTTACTAGTTCACAAATTGATATGACAAATAACGGTTTGTAAATTTTAGTTTGGTAGCACAATATAAATGTCGCATCTGAGTGTAAAATTATCTAAAAAGTGTTAACCAAAAATAAATAAAAACACAGTTAAAAAAAACCACCATATGCACATACATTTTGCGTCACTTTATAATACAGCAAATACAGGGAGCCGTATGGTTGAAATCATACATTTATTTGTGAAGTTTTATTTCTGAATATGACTCAGACCAAGAAGTTCAGTGAAGCTGCCCTGTACAATGGGCTCACTGCTTTAATTTCTTCTCTAATTTAAAAAAAAAATCCTTTATTAATCAGTCTGAAAGCACTATTCTTGCTGTGGGAAAACAAATGATCCTCCTTGAATATTAAACATATATAAGTACAGTATATATATATATTTAATCTACCAATGTATATACATCACATTTGCAGAGGACACTAATGGTTTTATAAACTCTGAAATGTTTTGATGTAATACACTTGTAATATTCTTTTATAATATAGTAGGTATCCACTTGCGGTTAAACTTAAATCTCGAGCTTTTGTATAGTTTTGGAATGTTAACTTTTTCTTAAAACCAAATAGCAAACAAAGGTATAGATTGTGTGTACTTGTGTATTCAGCTCGTTGAAATTACCTTCGTAACCGTAAGATTGAGAATCTGAGCTGGGGCTGACCCAGGCTAGATCCCCTGTGTGGGACCCCCAAAAAGCATTGGTTGTAAAATGTACCATTTTTTGGGTCTAAAATGTGCCCCCTGTTCTGTGTCTGGTCAGAGCAGGACATGCAGGGATAATAATAAACCTTGCATGCTCCCCGTTACTGTAGCGTGGCCAAGCAGAAGCACCTACCCTCAGCTCAGCAACAAGCTCAAGGTTTATAATCGATGTGGAGGGGTACAGGACATAGCTCCCTGCTTCACACAGAGTGGTGTTGAGGCTGGGCTGAGCCTCTACCAGGTCACTGAGAGCACTGTATTGGATTAATGTGACAACTCTTTCATATATTTCCTAGTTCCAGCCAGAAGGAGCTGTTACAGGGGTCACCAGTACATTCTTTTTTTTCTTAGAATGTTCCAAACTGTTGATTTGGCCACTCCTAATGTCCCTGTTATCTCTATAATGGAATTTTTTTTACAGCCTAAGGTGTTACGGATATAACTTACCCGGACACAGAAGAAGCACTGCTCCGAGAGTGAAGGTAATAGGTAGAAAAATAAACACTTTTTCTTACCTCGCTGCAGCACTTGTTCACAGTCAGAGAGGCACAGATTCTCCAGTTCCAAATCAGTGAACCCTCATTATCGGGTTTCGGCACCAATTTGTTATGGATATAAAGTTACCCAGAGATATGTTCAGGTGGAAACCAAATTGTACTTCAAGTCTGCACTCAGTGAAGCAATCAAAGCAGACCAGTCAATTTGTGATTAAAAGATTACTTCCTCTTTTATTGGTTTGCTTTCAGACTATATAGTGCTTGGTAAAACAGCTTTGTGACTTGCGCAACA